TCACATTAGATTGGCCACTATCCTCAGAACCCACCACAGTAGACCTAACACCATAATTAGCCACAAAATCCGCACCAGAATGGTTGACAGAAAGGTCATTACCTAGTTTAATGTCAACCACACCCTCACAATCATGTTCGACAACCAAGATAGGATCAGAGCTACCACCAGCAAGTGACGGATCCAATTCAGGAACATTAGGACTACCCGTGACATTAGCAACAGCTAAGGGAGGGGAAGGTAATGTCACAACAGGAAAATTCAATCCAAACAAATTTATTGGAGAGGCAATAACCTTTTCTGGAACAACCACGGGAGACCGAACAATAAGGGAAACAAAAGCACCCTCAACCCCATCACCAAGGCCAAAATTGACCAAGAATTGTCTAAATTTATAACCTTAAAGGGCTGCAAATGAACACATTCCAAATTCGAATGCCAAATTGACTTGCAATGACCACAATATTTAGGGAATTATTCCAATTCAACCAATTGGACATAACCAAGCTTATCCGAGCCAAGCCAAATACGATCCAGGTTCCATTTAGTAATATCAATTTCCACGAGCACACGAGTAACAGACGGACGGGAACCGACAGCCTTAGCATTGTCCGTTTTCAGCGGCTTACCAAACAACGACCCCAAACCATGAAGAATACGGGAAGAGAAAAAATGGGGGAGCATATTAGGAAAACATACCCAAATAGGTATAACAAGGGATTCAACATTAACATCAAAGAAAGGGGACCACTTGGTAAGCTTCATATAAGAACGATGGGAAAAAATCCTATTATAATCCAAGTCATTGCTCAATTTGATCAACACATGCTTAATGTTAAGCACCGTAATAGAGAAAATACCATTCAGTTTGAGGTTAAAGAAAAATTTAGGAATAGCATCGTTGGATGGCCAGCGATCCGGGAAGAAACCAACCAAGGAAAACTCAAACGGCACCACCAAAGCGAGCACCTCTTCCTCGGAAACCCAAAGAGAAGGTAAACTGCGATGGGTAACCGCTTTAACCTTGGGAAAAGCAGTCGAGGTCGAACCACAAGATAGCGCCTCAAAAAAAGATCGAGAAGACGATTTACTGTCAAGGAATCTAGGATCCTTCACACGATTAACCGCTATGCCGACTAGAGAAAGGCTGGAGGAGGATAATCACAAAAAAGACAGGCAAAATAAGAATAAGGACACAACAAAACCAAGAAAAATCATATGAACCTGGACATGCAATTGCAGCCAGAGGAGGCCGTTGGCCGCCAGCTAGGAGCAAAACCTAGCAGAGCGTGCGAGAGAGTTGGTGCGCACTGATATTGACAACAGTAAGGTCATTAAGACACTCAAATACTGAAAAAATAGTCTATAATGAAGAGGTTGATTAATATAGATCATTAGATAGTGTGATTGTTAAGAGTATTCCTTTATACAATATTGGCTTATTACGTCATGTGCTCTTTACATCAGCACACAATGCTTATTTAAAGGTATTTTACATTAGTGTGATGTCACGCATGAACAATCTAATCTAAAATCGGACCAATACACAATAGTGATAATTCAAAAAAAAATGTATTAGAAAAAGTTAAATTTTTGTATGAGCTGAAGAGTAGCGGCGTTGTGCTATGTAGTACTATGATATTGGGTTTGAGAGTATAATGGTGCCAGAAACTATCGTTACGGTGTTTGTGTATTTAATTACAATAACTCTGAATTTGACATGTAGCGTTGCAGTGTTAGATCTGAGTGCTGACTACCTCTCCCTCACTCATCCGATTGGCTTGCACTGGAAGAAGGAAAGAGAGAGGGATAGGATGGAAGATAATGGGAGAAGAGAAGCGGATTTCATGTTAGGGAAGATATCATGAGCATTTTGAGTGAGATTGTCATATATCTACAAGCTTATTTTTATTTTATTTGTATTTTTGTTTATTCTTTTGTAATCAAAAGTCAGTGATAGAGTATTGATTATATTGATATCCTGATTATTGTATATCAATTTTTTGAGAATGAATATAGTGAATATTTTTAAGCATATATTATTAGATGCTTCAGTTGAATATATTTATTTATATTAGTGGTGTCAATTTCGGGTCACGGGTCAGGTTCTGGTCGAACCCAGAATTGACCCGGCACTATTCGGGTCAACCCGAACCCGACCAGTTTGTAAAAATGGGTCGAGTTTTGGGACCCGACCCGCTTCGGGTTCGGGTCAACCCGACCCGACACGGTTTGCGATCTGCCGGAGGTTTGTGGTCTGCCGGATAGTCGGACTGCCAGAGCCAGAAGGTTTGGAGAGTTCGAAGCGGGACAGCGAGGCGAGGCAGCGCCAGCGTGGCAACGGCGGGCCGGTAGCAGACGCGAGCTCGGATTCCAACTGCAACATATTCGGACTGCCGGGTAGCAAAAGCGAGCTCCTCGCCGGGGAAGCGGCGTAGATGGCCTGGCGGAGTGACGGTATGGGCGCTTATGGCCAGGCTAGCGACTTGACGCGAACTGACATGAAGGCTTGCTGGCCTGGGGACTAGATGCAGACGGCAAACCCGACTCACTGACGCGGACGGCTGGCCTGACGCGATGGCATGCCTTACCGGGTCAAAAACGGGTTGATTTCGGGTTTTCGGGTCAACCCGAACCCGACCCAGTTTTTCAAACAGGTCGAAAACTCGACCCAAACCCGACCCAGTTTGGGTTCGGGTTGACCTGAACCTGAAATTTTCGGGTCAGGTCCGGATCGGATTTTCGTGTCGTGTCAAATATTGACAGCCCTAATTTATATTAATGATTTATAGGAGTTCAAGTATATTATCAAAATAATAAATAAATAATTCTTCTAATTTTAATTTTAGAACAATATGACATACAGTACACTTTGAATTCTAACCAAATTTATTAAATTAAGTACCACAAAAAAGTTTTAAATATGTACTCATTTTGAATTCGAGATTTCCAAGTTTAGATAAATGTGACCCATTATAATTTATAGCTAGTACTAATGTACTAGAAATAATTATGTTGACTTGACTTGGCAAGCCTATGTAATTTGCTCTTTTAGGGCATTTCCAACCGAACGGCAAATATTTATTTGTCATTCTTGTTTTGCTCCAACCGATCGTCATTTTTTACGCCATTTGATCGCGGATGAACAGTGCGACGCCAATATTGGCGTCGCACTGTTCACTCACGCCATTTTTTGCTCTCAACCGGAAAAACACGCGAAAGGGAGGGCGATCGTTACCTTCTCAAATACACCTAAAATGGCGTTTGATTGGAGCATCACCGTGCCATTTTGGAGTTTTGCGTTACTTTGCCGTGAAAAATGAAGTTTTCGGTTGGAGATGCCCTTAAAAAGTTTTCACCTCAAAAATGATGTGTTTATTTTCTTTAATTGTGTTAGAAATGTTATATATAATTAATTTGATAAAAACTTCTTTCTCAGCTCAAAACTTCTAGCATTTATAACAAATAAAATATTTCTTATGATTCTAAAACCATATTAGCAATTCCCTTCTGTGGTGATAACTTTTTATGTATATTTTCTGTACATATTAAAAGTTTATTTGCCATTACTTTGTTGTTATTTATTTTTGAAATTTTAAAAATAATTTTATTTGATTACTATTTTCTTATTATTTAAAAAAAATTAAGCTAAAAAGTTATTTTTTACAATTTTATGATCACATTTACAAAAAAATGCACTTATCTCAAATAGGGAAAATTATTATGTGTGGAGTTCGGACTGCGAGAATCGTCTGAATTTATTGAGTATTTATATTTGCTCAATAAATATACAACAAATACTCATTTGTGAGTATTATTGAGTATTTTATGAGTATTTGTTGAGTATTTTATGAATATTCTTTGTATTTTTTTGTGAGTATTTGTTCATTTACTGTGTATTTACTAAGTATTTATAAATACACAACAATCCGGACGATTCTTCCTGCTCGGACTCGGCAAAGAATAATTTCTCCTCAAATAAACTCTAAATCATATGCCCATTTAAAGAAAATTTATTTTTAATTGGAGGGAATGAATAAGAGATATTAGTTAATTTTAAATGAAAAGACTAAGCCTTTATTTGAGATAGCTTTCTAAATACTTTCTAAAATAGATTTTTAGATATAAATTTTTTTACTAAAAAATAATTTTAAAAATTAATAAGAAAGCTATCTTAAAATTTCAGAATAATTTGAACTAAAATTGAAATTACATGAATTTATTTAGCATCTCTGGAATCTATTTTGTCATATTTGTGCTGAGAAAATGATAAATATGTCAACATATTTTTCCGAGAAAAAAAATATCAAATATCCCAACTCTACCTTTTTGAAGCTACGGACATTTTCATCCCACGTGTCATTATTCTTCCTCGGCAGAAATATCTCGACAAACATCTTCATGACCACAAAAAAATCAACATAGCAAAGGCAATACCGTAAAACGACCGGTGAAAATAAACAAATAATGCTGAAGTTCACCGTTCAAATCGAACTACAGATACTTCTTGATGCCGCCAAGATCTGCGTGAAGCTGAGAAGAAAGAATCGCAGGCAATGGAACAGTAGAAAACAGAGCAGATAAGCTCTTCAGGTTTTTTCTATTGAAAAGGAAGATGAAAAACTGCTTACATTTCTCACATAATTCCTATATATATATTAGCTTCTAGAAACTGTAATTGGCTGTAACTTTGCTATAACTAAATTGCCAGATTATTTTGTATTTAATTTAAAGTTCTTTTTTGCCCTCGTGCTCTACTTCTCTGTGAGCAATGCTTCTTTAGAGTTGTAATCTCTAATCTTTGGTTGTAGTTTTTTATATAGTTAATGCATTTCATTTTATTTAGGATAATTCTCCCCCTCACCAAATTTGGGGCCTCCGTTACTTCATCGATTGTTCACATATTATTCCCTAGCTCGTAATTCTTAAATAATCATTCGCTTGCGTTAAATTATTTTCAGGATGAAAAAAGAAAAAAATTATCTCAGGAAAATCCAGCATAATAATTAACTAACTCAAATTTGCAAAATTTATTTACAACCATATGAGGTTGGGCTATTTGTTCACTGAGTAGTAGTAGGAACTTCGCCATTACAGGTTATTAGTACAGCGTTTTCATCTAAAAAAGAAACCTGCACTAATATCGGGCAACCCCACAACATTAACAATATTATATCCCTGAACAAAAACGTGTTACACCTGTAATTAACCTTCGCCGGAGACGACGATAAATTCTGATCTCATACTCTAACGGGCGCCGAACATCTGCTCGAGGAGGATTACGATGGCCATGGCAAGACCGGAATCAAATCCCGGCTGCACGATAAGACGGAAGACGTCGCCCCCGAAGGCCACCCCACCGATCGCCTCCTTACGTTGGATCTCTAACACCGGCCGCCTCAATTCGTCGTAGACCACACAAGATCTATGAGAGAAAGAACCCTCCACGCAGTAGATCGGCCCCTTCTCGCCGCCGCATGGTGTCACGTGCGCTAGCACTTTGGACGGGAGAAGCGTCAGATGCTTCCTAGCCGAGAAGCGACGCCTTTCCTCTCCCTCGAAGATGCGCCAGTGATCCAACAGGGTTAGCCTCTGCATCAAAGAAGAAACGGAGCGAATCGACTCAGTAACCAAACAATCGAATTGGATAGGATAAAATTCCCAACTCCATTTCCCATTTCCGACCAATTTATGCCCGGAGATGGAAAATTGTCTAATCCAGAACCTTTAATTAAATCAGAGACAGAAACGTAAAGGGGTTGGTACCTTTCGGCGGACGGTGAACACGGACTTTCCAGCGGCGTCCATGAGGACGATCTCGGTGCGCTTCGAAAATGAGTAGTTATCAACGCGAAATACGAGCTCCCCCTTGGCATCAAAGACGGTGAAGCCGCTGCAGTTGAAGAGGAGGGACTTTCGCCACACGGTGAAAGACGATGGCTCCGAATCGACGGCGATGTCGAGGGCTGGAGACTGAGATGTCGGAGAGTTAGGGTAGATCTTTGTCATTTTCTCCGGCGAGGTTTTCCGGCCGACGGCAGCCGAAGATCCAGATGGGGTCTAAAATCAAGCTATGGCTTAAAAGCTAGACTGAGGAATCCTGTCATCAAGCAGAGTATATATAGGTCTCAAGGACAAAAAAGCCCTTGGTGGTCGATAGTTATTACGCGCCCGGCACGCGCGCCTAGTATTCGGATGTCTGTTTCCACGGTGTTTCTTAAAAAATTAAATGAAAAAAATGGGACACGTGTCACAGAAGTATAAGAGGGCGTGAGCATCTTTGATTGGGCGGCTGGTGGGTTAATTAGTTGGAATTAAAATAAAAAATCCTATGCGACCTTTTAACAGCTGCTGAGAATAATGGGAGAAGGGTTATGCCCTTAACTTTCTCCAAAAATAATAATAATAATAATAATAATGAGAAAAATTTTGAGTTTTAAAATTTAAATTATATAAATTTTGAAAATAATAAATTTATTTCAAGATAAATAAAATATACAATAATTTTATTAACTTTTAAATCAACCCCGCTTAAAATAAAAGTAAAATTTTAATTTTTTTTAATTAAAATTAATTTAATTTATATTTTTAAAATTCATTATTATCAAATCTTTATAACAGTACTGCGATTTAAAATTACATTATTTAAAAGTTAATTTATAAGCTCCTGAGTTCAAATGAGAAGCATTTGAAATAATATTTTAAAATAATTTTCTATATAAACAATTTAAAAAGTAATGAAAAGCAAATAAAAACAATGAAAAAAATTATGTCCATTTTTTTAATGTGCATTATATTATTAAGAATTCAAGTTGGAAGGTTGAAGTGGAGGAATGCATCATGTTTATTGTGTGATAGAAAGTCCCTCTCAAACTCATCAAGAGTAAATTCTATAAGATGATAGTGAGACCTGCAATGTTTTATGGTGTAGAATGTTGGCCATTAAAAGAAGAACATAATATTAAGTTAAGTGTTGCAGAGATGAGGATGTTCAAGTGGATGTGTGACTTTACTCTTAGAGATTAGATACAAAATAATGAGCAAATACTTGAAAGGTTGGAGTAGCTCCAGTGGAAGATAAGATTAGAGAGAGTCGCCTTAAATGATTTGGTAACATAAAATGACGGCCTTCCGATGACCCGCTTAGGAAAGTAGATGTATTAGATTTGACTTATGTTAAGAAAGATAGAGGCAGACCTAAAAAGATTTGGTTATAAAATATTAGAAATGTCATTTTTTTTAATAGATTTAGATGAGAATTTTACTCTCAACAAGTCACAATAGAGAAAAAAAAAAGATTCATGTAGCCGATCCCACATACTGAGATGAATGCTTTGTTGTTGTTGTTGTATTATATATTAAGAATATTAACTTTATTGAATTTATTTTAGCATTAATACAAATTATAAAAAATTTATATTGTCTTAATCTTAATCTTAAAATAATTTCATTAATTAAAATTTATTCTAATCTAATTATATCCTAGACAACCTTTTTTCTAAATCAAAATATTAGCCTAATGAATGTCGGCCGTTCCTTTGTATAGTGTAGCCGAAGCTCGCATGGTCAATGAATGCCGGTGCCTTTACATGCAACATATATAATAAATATATTAAACCAAATGAGGTGTAAAATGGCTCAGCTTTCAGTTAATGAAAGGGCATAAGATGCTTTAATAAGAAAAATGAAGTGGATGAAGCTCATCCAATATCCATATCGAGAAATATTGATCAGTTCCTTCAACAGAATCATTCACTTTAGAGTAAAGTAGAGAGAGTGCAAGCTCAAAAAATGGATGCATAAGATTTGTTTTAGGCAGTTGATAAATTAAAATATTGGGATAGTGCATGAACCTTTTGATTTGTCGACATACTTAAAATAGGCTTTAAATTATATATATAGGCATATCTAAAGTGAATGATTTTTGAATTATTGACATATCTACTATTAGTACAACAATAATAATAAGTATTTATCTCAATAGCACATCTTACCTTCGTCTACTGGTTGGGAGCTTAGGCCACCAACTAAGAGACCTTGGGTTGAAAAATTGTTGTGTCTAGACTCGGTATCGAGCATACCGAATGATATCGAGCGCGGTACGTACCGAGCTCGGTACCGAGCGCGGTACCAAGCGCCCAGTAATGTGGCACTTTTTTATTTGCCTCTAGATGCGTTTGGTGTCCGGACACAATAATTACTCTCTTGGGTTCGAGTCTTGTATATGTGATGTGTGTGTGAATCTTACTTAATTGGCCTAAATGTCCCCAAAAAATAAAAAGTCTTTATCCCACTAGATGAGATATGTTACATTATTTTTTTTCCTCTATTATATCATACTAAGGTTTTGTTTAGGACGGCTTTCTTATTGCTTCTTAAAACAGCTTCTTAGTACAAAAATTTTAAGAAGCCTAAAAATTTTGTACTAAAAAGCTGTTTTAAAATTAGTAAAAAAGTCATCTCAAACTAAGCCTAAGAGTCACATTCTCATTTAAGACTTCATTTGGGACTTTTTTTTAAAAATTTTTAAACATCTTTTTATTACAAAAATTGTACCAAAAAAATATTTTAAAAGGCTCTAAGAAAGCTGTTCCAAATAAAATCTAGGTCTATATATTTTCATTAAGAAGTATATTGCAATTTTAATCCCTAAACGCTAAACTTTTAATTTCATTAAAGACAAAATTTTCCACATTTTTTATTTTGTTGTAGCTTTTTTATTATTTTCAAACAAGTTTTTGTGATTCCATAAATTAATTTTCATAAATACATCTATTAAAATACAAAAGTTTAAGTAAATATCACTACCAAAAAAATAGCCTTTCGCAGCACTTTTTTTACCCTACCGCAGCGGTTAAAACCCCTACAAATATTTTAGCAGCGGTTTATAAAATAAAACTGATGCAAAAAGTATCATTTTTTGGTAGTGTATATTTAATAACTTTATTACGTAATAAAAATTTTTATATCATAATATTCTGATCAGAGTTTTTAGCAATATGAGCCTTAAGTTCTTAGTTCTACTTTGAAATGAGTGTTATATATATGCATGCAATTAATATGACATTAATTCTAAAATTGATTGAAGAGCATTAGGACCTACCTTGATAACATTTCAATCAAAATAGTCTCGAGAAATGTCAAGAAATCTCCTCTATCATACGGCATTAATTTTTTTTGGCAATAATTACACAATTTTTTGATGACCTTAGATGAATTAAATCACAAACACATGCACAATTTATATAAACACCTCTATTTCAAAATATCGATTGGCAGCCTAAGGTCTCAACAAACAAAACGTACATTTTTACAGTTAATTTATTACAGTCGTGGCAAACACACCCTCAATCAAGCTATGCATTCAAAGTGGAAGCTATAGTGTTGGGAGATTAAGATGTTAGAAGACACAGAAAAGAAACATTGAAATACTTCATACTTGAAAACATTATATAATCAAGGACTGTTCGATGGAGTACTCAAATTTTTTTATTGAAATAATCATACTATCATCTTCCATAATTCTATAAATACTCTACTTCAACTTATTTGAAGAGGTTGGGTATTCTAGATATAAGAATTCATAACTCATCATCACTAGTAAGATGTACATATACATTAATTAACACTAATGTAGATTTCCATCATTGCCACTACTCTTAACACCATCATACCCACAAACATTAACAATCATCATTTTCATCAAAGTTGATCCTCACCTTCTTAGTTGCTAATCTCTCCTCCTATAAGACTCCCGAAATTAATTTTTGAAGTTTTCAACTAGCTTTTGCCTCGAGATTCGTGCCCGATCAAGATAATTTTGCATGATGTATCAATATCTTTTTTAGTATACTTCTAACTCTACTATTAATCTATTATTAAGAGAAAAAAAAGATTAAAATATTTTGATCAAAATTTAAGTATAATGGATATCATGAATTTGTATATCAATCGATCGATTTATATATTACTTTCGTCTCAAAGTAAATTTGAGGATTCTAAAACTCATAATGACTAAATGCTTATCAGGATATTATCACGTAATTTATTTTCATTAAGAAGTATATTGCAATTTTAATTCCTAAACCCTAAACTTTTAATTTCATTAAAGTCAAAATTAACCCACATATTTTGTTTTGTTGCAGCTTTTTTATTATTTTCAAACAAGTTTTTGTGATTCCATAAGTTTTCATAAATACATCTATTAAAATACAAAAGTTTAAATAAATATAATTAATAACTTTATAACGTAATAAAAAAATTTATATCATAATATTCTGATCAGAATTTTTAGCAATATGAGTCTTAAGTTCTTAGTTCTACTTTGAAATGAGTGTAATATACTAATATGTCTGCAATTAATATGGCATTAATTCTAAAATTGATTGAAGAGCATTAAGACCTACCTTGATAACATTTCAATCAAAATAGTCTCGAGAAATGTCAAGAAATCTCCTCTATCTCACGACATTATTTTTTTTTTTTTCACAACAATTACACAATTTTTTGAGGAGCTTAGATGAATTAAATCACAAACACATACACAATTTATATAAACGCCTCTAATTCAAAATCTAGATTGGCAGCCTAAGATCTCAACCAAATGAACATATTTTTTTACAGTTATTAACACAGTAGCAAACACACCCTCAATCAAGCTATGCATTCAAAGGGGAAGCTGTAGCGTCGGGAGAAGCTGATTAAGATGTTGGAAGACACAGAAAAGAAACATCGAAATACTTCATACTTGAAAACCATTACATAATCAAGGAATGCTCTAATTTTTTTTTATTGAAATAATCATACAATCATCTTTCTTATTTCTTTAAATACTCTAATTCAACTAAGAAGGTTTAATACTCACCTTCTTAGTTGCTAATCTCTCCTCTTATAATAAGAACAACCAAGCAAAAAAACAAAGATCTCAATAAGATATTTCTAATATCTCAAAGCTCTCTATTTCCCCTTCGAAAGTCATATTTGATTTAGAAGAGAAATAAATGCTCGCCCTACCAACAACCAAGAAGAAACGAATCTAACTAATAGCGATCATTGTCATGCAAGGATCAGAAAGTCGTATTGGTTAA